TTGAAGCTATAAGACTTTTTTTAATGGAAGCATTACACTTTTGATAAAATATTGATAAAACAATCATGTTGTAGCTTATGTAACTGTAAGAGAAAGCAAGTGTGAATCAATGCTCCTCATTTTGCAATAGAAAATCATTGCTGGAGACCATATATTCAGCAATCATGTTTGTATAAAGATTGGATTATCTAGGATGATTAATGTAAAATATTACAAATTATCTACTAAGAGTTCAATTGGAATTTAAGGTTTTATACTATTGCTTAACATTCATAAGTATACATATAACTATTGCATACAGTCGTATTGGCTACCATATTTAAGTTTCATTTCATCATATAGTTATTTCAGCAATATCAGAAGAAAGAAATAGAAGGAAAGAGGTGAATCGGCTATGTGTGAATTTGGGGCAATGAGCATATTAATATTATTGAAAACTTATCCCCTCAACTCACCATGTGCTGTGGGCTTTCTCCTGCTTCCACACTCTCCCTGACCTTTCTCTGGCATCTGGTTTGTCACCAATTACCTGTGTATAGGGTCTCTCTTCCATTGTTTTACTTGACACTGAACTCTCCTGGCTTTTCTGTTTCCATAACTTCATTTTCTGATTCCTTAGAAAGCAGTTTCAATAATTTATCTCTGTGACTACTGAAATCTATTACAATGGTGAATTGTACTGATAGATTTTTCTGATGTTAAGCTTTCAGAGACATCCTTGTGTTTCTCTGGGTAAGCCTTATACCTTATAAAGTAGTGTGTGTGTGTGCACGTGTGTGTGTGTGTGTGTGTGTGTGTGTGTGTGTGTGTGTGTGTGAGAGAGAGAGAGAGAGAGAGAGAGAGAGAGAGAGATGTGCTAACACATACATTTCTTTAGAAATGTTTTTAGCCATGTTCTTAAATAAGTTTAGCGTGTGAATTTCCTTTCTCAGTGTGCTTATCTAGCCTTAATATCGAGATCAAGATTACAGTATCCTCAAGTTGGGTTATGAAATTTTACCTCTATTTCTGAAATAATTTAAGTTGAGTTTATATGGTCCTTAAGGATTTGGTGACACTTACATGTAAAACTGAACCTGTAATCTTTTTGAAGAATTGTACCTGCTTATTATGCATGTTGGAGTGTTTCAAACTGCAATAACAAATGAGTATAACAAAAATTGATCCTATTTTTTAAAATGAGAGGATATGCATATATTTACAGACAGAGGGGAAGGGAATTGACAACATTGGCGAATTGAGAGGAAAACTGAGGTAATTTAGGGAAGGGATTAAAGAGGAAATAAGAAATGAAATTGAAGCAATGTTGGAGGGACTAGTCTTTAAAACAGGATGCAGCACCTTACTCTGATCTATCGGGAAACTTGGGAGGATGGCTATTGATACAGGCACACTTTTGGTTCAAGAGATGGTTTGGTGAAGAGACTTTCTGGAGACCATGAGATAGAAGGCCATGTGATATATGCAAAGTTGAGATAGGCAGACCTCCTGGAAAAAACTCAAAAAGAAGAGAATATTCAGAATTGATCTAGTGTTAAACATAAAAAAATTCAGTTTCATTGGGGGAAGGTTATTCGAATTTTAAATAAGGAAAATCAGACACTATAGACAGAACTATATGCTGTTGACTCATTTTTCCCTTTACACATGACTCCTTTTATTACTTGAGAGTGTTTTAGGAAGTAGTATAACTGCCTTTCTGTTATTTAGTATATGAACCAAACCTGAAATATGTTTATTTCGGTTCCTGTTGACCACTGTCTTTCAAGTCTTCTAACTAAAAAAATAAATAAATAAAGATCAATACACGGGAAATGAGTAAACTCATTTTCTTCTGTTGTCTTTTCATAGTCTTATCTCTTTTTACACAGCTCTTCTTTCTACTCCCCTAGCAGGAAAGTAAACCCGTGGCACTCTGTTGTTCACTCACGCAATTTGAAGAATGCATGAGTGCCCAGCCTTAGCAGTTCTGAACTGTGGTGAACAGAGCCCCTGATGTTCATTCAGGAGCCCTGGACTCTCGTCCTGGCAGGGCTCGCTGTTCATGCATTTGCATCTAAACACAGAAACTCTTGAACTAGAATGTGTTTATGGGTGCTTCTGGGTCTTAGTGATGCCTAACAAAGGCTCTCAGGCCAACCTGCCCTGGGAAATTTTTCATGGGTAATGTTCTCTTTATTGCACCTGAAGCCATTACCTTTCTCAAAAACCACTCTAAACATCTGACACCTACTTCTCAGCAGTTATCACCAGTTTCCTCTTCATTTAATACGAAAGCTGTTTTGTTCACTTTTACTTGTTTCCCTTAACTTCATCTCCTTTCTGTGATCCTGCCATTCAGAACATCCATCCTAGCACCTCTTCCTTTTTCGTTTTCATAGCCACCACCTAAATTCTATGGTTTTTAGTTAGTTTGTTTTATCTGATATTCTTTCCTTCATCTTCTATTCTTTTCAAACCCTTCCTGCTTCTCTGTGGCTCATTCAGATTCCAAAGACATTTGCTTCAGTTGGTCAAGTGCTTGCCTGAAAGCTTTTTTTTTTTTTTTTGCTATCACATGTGAGACCAAGGCAAAAAATTTTAACCTGGAAGTGAATTTTTCTGCAGTTTATATTTAAGTACGCCTTTTAGTCTTCTTTCCTAGTTGTTTCTTAAGTCGCAGTTTCTTTTTCTTTTCTTCTTTCCCCTTTTCTCTATCTCCTCCTTTTAAAAAAAATCCTTCCTTTGTTGAATTCACTTACTCATTCTTCATCTCACACATTTATTATTGCCTTTCACATTCAAGGTACTGAGCTCTGTGCTGTAAGCACTTGAGGCAGCAACATAGAGATGCGAGCTTCCAGTTCTCTCTTCAAGATGAGTTGGGGCCACTGAAGGCACCAAGGTCTCATGTGGCTCTCTTGCTTTGTCCCTAGTCTAGAACATCTGTTTTGTCAGTCTCTGGTCAAATCTTTCCCTTTTTTTTTTGAGTTGGAGTCTCACTCCAACACCCAGGCTGGAGTTCAGTAGCGTACTCACGGCCACCCCAGTATCAACCTGCTAGGCTCAGGCTATCCTTCTGCTTCAACTTCCAAGTAGCTGGAACTACAGGCATGTTCTACAATGCCTGGCTAATTTTTTTTTTTGATTAGTTGTAGAGATGAGGTCTCGACAAGCTGCCCAGGCCGATCTTGAGCCTGCCTTTTTTTTTTTAACCTAAGCTCCCAATCTTCTTCTTTCTATGTAATAATAATTCCTATGACCCTACAAACACATATAAATACCTTGCATTTATAGATAACTTGTTTAAAAAAGATATTAGTGCTGTTTCTCTTACTGAAGTATAAACTCCTAGAAGAATTATCTTTTAATAACTTTTTACATCTTCAGTATCTTGTGCATACTTTGCTATAAATAAGAATTTGTTTTAATTGACTTACCTATAAAATGAAGAGATTTATATAAAATGCTAAAAAAATGTAAACTCTCATACACATTAAAATTTCAGCTTTCTTTCTATAGCTTAACCCTGGTTTCTTCCTTTTAAACAGAAAATAGCACTCAGTTGATATCATTTTCCCCCAATAACTGTTAGTAAAGATATATTTATTATACAAAGTACAAAGCTATTTCTTTTCTTTCTTTCTTTTTTTTTTGAGTTGGAGTTTCCCTCTGTCGCCCAGGTTGGAGTGCAGTGGCATACTCAAGGCCACCCCAGCATCGACCTGTTGGGCACCAGTGATCCTTCTGCTTCAGCCTTCCAAGTAGTAGCTGGAACAGCAGGCGTGCACTATAACGCCCACCTAATTTTTTGATTTATTATAGAGATGAGGTCTCGCCAAGTTGCCTGGGCTCTTCTCGAACCCGTGGGTTCAGGCAATCCCTTCACCTCGGCCTCCCAAAGTTCTGAGATTACAGAATTGAGCCACTGCACCTGGCTATACAAAGCTATTTCTTACAAATAAGCCATCTTGTTTACATCCACAGAACTATTTTTCAGAACACGAGATAGGAAAGGGACCTATTTCCATGTTAGATCTGTTTTAGCATCAGTGTTTGTTGAAAGAGATTATTGCTGTGCCAAACACTTTTTCCTCAAACTAATAACTTCATTGAGTTGACATTTGTCATGTGCCTGTTTTAATCAGTGTGATATTATTTAAAATACTAACTCCAAGAGAAAGAAAAAAATCAGATAACATGATTAATTGTCAAGGAGAATGACAGAGGATCCCACAACTGTCAGAAACTCATTGAATATTTTTTCAGAGTCCAAATGAACTAATGAAAATTGCAAAGATGGCTTATTGAGGCAGCACTCTCTCTCTTCAAAGACTGTCATTTCATAATAATCGTACCGTGGGCTAAAGGCAGTCTAATAGTCGTTAACTGTGCTTGTAAAAACCTGTCTCTATAGAATGGCTATTTTCTGATTTCTCTTAGAAAAAGAAATGCAAATGAGGCCTATAAGTAACTGTGGATTTCTCATCTAGAAAGGACTGAATGTGTTTAACAAGTCTAATTATGGGGCCAAAATAGAAACCCAAAAGACAGGGAAATGGAATTAGAAAGAAGGCAAATGGCACTTGTGTCTGGGTCCTTGCTCCTAAGGAGGCTTTTGTAATATTTCAGAGTTTTCAATTCTTTCCAGTTAAGTTGTAGAGAAAATGGTCTTGTTTGCATTCAGTATTCCTCTGATGAATCAAGTGAATGCTGTGTTATTTTCTGCCTGGCCTGGTGAAACAAGGAAAATGCACATCTGGCTTGTAAATCACAACCAAGCATTGATGTCTCACTAGCTCTTTATTGGGTGGCCGCCCTCTGTGCTTTACAAGTTCTTAGCAGGGATTATGGGGCATCCCGATGGAAACCTCCAGTGGCCCCTAAACGATGGCACCAGGGGAACTTCAAATCCTCTCTGAAATGTTACATTTGCTACCTGATATGTATTCTCTGTGGTCCCCAGAGGAAAAGTCATTCATTTTTGTCTTTTTATTTATTTATTTATTTTTTCTGTTTAGAAATTGGTCCCTGGTTGCGGGAGTTCAGAGCGAAGAATGCTGTGGATTTCTCGCAGTTAACCTTTGATCCAGGACAGAAAGAACTTGTTGTAGGAGCAAGGTGAGAAATACTATGTTTTGCCACCACAGGTATTTTTGGACTTCATTCTGTTTCTATGCAGTTACATGTGAGTTTCTCTGACAAAAGGGAAGCGTGCTGAATGATATGATTTCTTCTAAGAATGAAGTATAGCATGAGTATTTTAAAGTATGCTACTTTTAATAGGATGACTGCTACCCTTTAGAGCAAACGCTGATCAGGCCCTCACTCTGCCAGGAACTGTTCTAATGTGAATGAACTCATTTGTTCCTCCATTCCAACCTGAGAGGTAGGTATTTATCAGCATCTCTATTTTAGAGATGAGGAAACTGAGGAAGAAAGATGATACATAAATTGTAGGGCAAATGCCTAATGAAAAACGGACCTTGGTTTCAAACCCATGCAGTTTGACTCCAGAAACCATGTCCTTAACTCTCACTTTATTCTTTAAAAGGATTCTAGAGGTCAAGAGACCTTGATGTCCAGTCCAAGGTCCATCATCACCTCTTTGTGACCTTGGTTATCTCACTTAGCAGTATCTCAAGAATTCAAGAAACTTATCATTTTCATCTCTGTGTCTTAAGGGTGTGCACATTCCTGTGTCCAGGTCAACACATGCATTCCAGTTTGACAGAGACCCCTGGAACACAGCCAGAACAGATTTGACTTTTTTCCTTCCTGTTCACTACGACTTCCTTAGAAAACCTGTGCAATTCCTGCATTTAAATTACCTATCCTTTCAGGGAATTTTGGGATTATATATGTATTTATATTTATATGTGTCAATATACATATATTACATATATATGTGTATATATGTGAAACTTATATCCAACTTTTGGAAAGACTGACATTAAGTTTGAAGAAAGAGGTCATTTGTAGATTAAGGTTCTTCTGGCATCAAATAAGTCACACTGGGCAGTAAAGTGCTCATATTTTTTTCAACCAAATGTACTGCATTCCAAAATATACCTTTCATAGCTACAGTCATTGTGTAGTTTCCATATAAACCTGCGTGAAGCTACATCGAGCTTATGCTCTGGGTATACTAGGCACATTAAACTGTTTCTGGAATCAGTACTTTTGCTCTCAGATCTTAAGGAGTTCGTGTGCATCCACCCAACACTTGAAGGCATAACGTTGTGTGATTGTGACTTTAATAGATAGAAGGTGACTTGGTTCATGGCACTGAGCAAATTGCCTGCAATTTGGTGCCTTCTTAAGGTTTTAAGGAGGCACTGAGTATGGACTGGACAAGGATATTTGGTATACTTTTTCTTAATTTAGTCCACTGTGTCTACTGGGACTATATATTGCAGGGATTTTAATTTGGTCTCCTGGCCTCCAGATTTTCTCCTCCCATGTACCATGACCAACATCATCTTTTTAAAAGTGGCTGCCTGCACTAACCCCCTTTGAATAAAAGATGGCTCTTTGCTGTGGCCTGCCAACCCCTCAGCCTTGTGGTCCCACATCCCTTACAGGCTCAAGTTTTTTCATTCTTGCATAGTCCAGGCATGTGAAATTATTTATGTTGCCCACAACTGTGGAACATGCTCTTTCTTGCCTCTGAGATTTGGTGACATTTTTTCTTTTTCTGAAATACTGGCCACAACCAACACCCACTTTAAGTTTTCTTCTTGGTAAGTTCCTATTTGTATTAAGGACCTAGTTCAAAGGTCTTTCAATGGTCCTGAGCTACTCATTCTCTACCCTGTGTGGTTCTATTAGCACACCTGGGCATTTACTTTTATTACCACCCTATTACAGAGTATTGCATTATTTCTTGACAGTTGTCATTTCCTTAAAAGATGGTGACTTACCAAATGGTAGGAGATGTGCCAGTCTTTTCTTTATTTCTCTAGCATATAGCACAGCTTTTTTTCTTGCTCATGGATGTTTAAAGGTACCTGTTGGTTAAACATATTTATTTCTGGGATTTGATTTATATACATGTCCTATTGCATCTGGGTGGACACTTAGGGAAAAGGGGTTGGGACAGTAGCAGATTTATTCTAGATACCTACATTTGGGCAAGGGCACAAGGAAGTGGCAGGCTTTATACCCCAAGGCTCACTCTTAGGGAAAGTAGTCTTTCACCTAGAGTCAAGAGTAACAGACCCTTTACTAGGGGAGGAGGTATCAATATGGTTGCAAGCAGTGTTGCTGAATTTTACATCCCTCATTCAGCTCTAAAGAAGTTTGGAGACCGGGCTCGGTGGCTCAGCCTGTAATCCCAGCACTTTGGGAGGCCAAGGTGAGTGGATTGCCTGAGTCTGTGGATTCGAGACCCGCCTGGGCAACTAGGCAAGACCTCGTCTCTACAATAAATCAAAAATTAGCTGGGCATGGCAGCAGGTGCCTGTAGTTCTGGCTACTTGGAAGGCTGAGGCAGAAGGATCGACAGAGCCCAGCAGGTTGAGGCTGTGGTGGTTGGGAAGGTGCCACTACATTCCAGCCTGGGCGACAGAGTGAGACTCCAACTCAAAACAACAACAAAAAAAGAAGTTTGGAAAAGAAGTATGCTGCTTCTAATAGGATGACTGCTGCCCTTTAGAGCAAGTGCTGATCGGGCCCTCACTCTGCCAGGAACTGTTCTAATGTGAATGAACTCGTTTGTTTCTCTCTATTGTCTCTGAAGGTCCTTAGTGCTATGTGGACAGGCCAGCACCTCATTCTCTGCAGGTGATTGGTTGTTGTTCAGTGACTCAGGATTTTCCTAAGGGCTACAGGAAGCCACAGAGCAAATTGTGGATTGTGGAGAAATGTCTTATGCTCCTGTCCTGGCTGGAAACAGCAGCTGTGAATTAGTTGCAAAGGGCACCTGTTTTCATCCTAGTGTTCCTGGAGGTCTCCATCCTAGAGTACCTGGAGTCTTCATCCTAGTGCCCCTGTAGGGTCTCTATTCCCATGTCCCTGGAGTTTCCACTCCAATAACCTTAATGTCCCTGGAGTTTCCATCTCAGTATCTATGGAGGTTTCCATCCCAAGGTCCCTTGAATTGCCATCCCGGTGTCCCTGGACATCTCTATCCCAGTGTCTCTGGTGGTTGCCATCCCAGGGTCCCTGGTGTCTCCATCCTGATATCCCTGAGATCTCCAACTCAGTGTCCCTGGAGTCTTCATCCCAGCATCCCTGGGGGTCCCTATTTATCTCATCCCACCATAGTCCCAGCCCAGCCCTGCTGAGAGTGATTGGATAAGCCACTCAGCCAACCTAGCTTGCCATATGGCATGATGGACAAAAACATGAAGGATTATATGAGACTTAGCAATAAAAATTCAGTTAAATTTGAATTTTAGGTAAGCAACATATTATTTTTCATCTTAAGTATGTTCCTAACATCTGGCTACTGTGAAGCAAGGGTTGTATTTTTTTATATTCTAGAGCTGTGTGTGGTACACTGTAGACACTGGATAAATAAACGGCAGAAAGAAAATGATTTGCCTTGCTTAGCTGAGTGACTCTGAGCCAGATTCAGAGCCCGATTTTCTTATTTTTAAAGTTGATGTAATAATTTCTACCCTTTTCAGCTGTTGTGAGGATTCAGTGAAATAATCCATGAAAGTGATTGTCATGTTAACAGGTAACCTGGTAAGCACACAGCCTTGGGGAAGTTCTGAAGTTCTCTCCGGGTTTTGGCATATGTGTTTCAGCAGACGGGACCTAAGGAAGAGAATCAGAATTGTACCTCCGAAGTTTCATGGGATTAGGCTCAGAAAGTTTGAGAGGAAGTGTGAGCCAGATATAAAATTTTAAAAATAACCCAGCCCTCAGATTCCTGTTTGGCAAAGCTTGACCTAGCAAGAGAGTTTAGATAACAGGTGTATATTTCAGAAATCGGTAATGGTTTAAAAATATGAGCTGTGGAAAAATAGAATGACACTCTTTATTTTTTCATAGTTAGCAGTAGACATTGTGAAACCATTTATTGGATGGTTTCACTTTATACCAGTGATACTTTATGTTCCTGAAATTGAATTCAGTTAAAGATTCTTTGCACTCTTTGATAAAGGAAGTTCATTGCGCTGCAAAAGAAAAACCTATCTTAAGGCGATTTGTGGTCACGTAGTACCGGAAGGTACTTGGATCTGAATTCATGCAATTTCTGGAAGGAGCCATACATTTACCATTTTCAAGGTGCTCATTACCTTCCATATTATTTTAAATGCATTGACATTCATAACTTGTTTTTCCCCAGCCTCTTTAAAACTTAATAACATTTGTGTTTTCAATGACAAAATTTAGGCATCTTCATTTTAGAACATGTGGAAAATACAGTGAAGCATAAAGAAAACAACATAGTTTCAGAGATAATCACAGTTAACCTTTTCAGTTATTTCCCTGCATTGACTTCTATTTATTTCTACTCTTGCGCTAATACTTTTTTTGAATGATTGTATACTTCTTTTACCCAAATCCTACTAAAATTAGTTTCCTTGGCATAAAAAAAAATTCAAAATGAAAGAATATGTTATGGCTAAGAGTTTTTTGTATAGATGATTATACAAGTAATGACAGTGATAATACTCCACATACTGGATACAAGTATACGTTTCACTGCAGATAGAATCATTGCAACAGATGCAAGAGAGGGTGATTACATTTTTATTTCCCAAATGAATTAGTTTGTCTTTAGTGTTTCAGGTTCATTCTAAGGGTGGCAAGTGATTCTATCTTGAATCACTCTGATATGTATTCTGTGCTGAATTTAAAGTGTTATTCCAAATGGCAGCTAACTCGGCTCACACACAATGCAGTGTTTGACTGCTGTTGGGGTGTTTACAAATTATCCATATTTTCAAAATGCATAGAGCCCTATAGTGCTAATGAAGATGAGTTTATTATCAAAGCATCTGTAGCAAGAGTCATTGCCCCTGAACTCTGGGAAAGGTGTGAAGGCACTCTTTGTGGCTAGTGATGTACTTTTCTTCAAAAGTGATTTTTGTTAATGAAAATTAATTTTTAACATGTGTCAGTTAAGATAATTTTTTAACATATCTCTGTTTCTATAACGTGAG